AATAATATAGCATTGATGAACGACAGCCACACACTAGTTAGGATTCAGGACTTACTGGTTTCCTGCTTCACACGAGGGTTAATGACCAACTTGGTGAAGACGTAGAAAAAGCTGTCCAACGAAGCCATGCCCACGTTATCGCCGAACACGGCTGTAGCCTGAAATGAGAGCGCGGCCCACTCACCAAAGGGCAACCGTTGGTGGCATTCTGATGAGCATACCTCAGGCCAAAGTTCCTCAAAGAGAGCATCCTTCGATGCGTCATCCGGAGCATACGTATTTGGCAGGACAATCTTCATGATCGAGCTGAGACACAGGAGGGCTGTGGAGGGCCGAACGGGAGATAGAGTGGTACCGAAGTTCTTCTTTTGATCGACGTTGTAGGAACTGATCATCGGTTACACCCATAGATTCGAACCTGAGAGAATAGGAATAGAAAGTTGAAGTATAGCAATAAAGATACCAGATAACACGAGAATTGAGAACTGCTGAGAAAGATGAGCCAACATACCTCTGTGGATGTAGTAAACTATCACACCCGACTTCATCACCATAGTTCTGTATGTCAGCCACGCTTCTTATGGTGGGCCTGAAGAGTGAATCAAGCGAGCCAAGTCCAAGATCGCATTAAGTAAGCCTTCTTAGCTTAGTTGGTAGAGCACCCGCTTAGTAAGCGGGAGGTCGTCGGTTCGACTCCGGCAGAAGGCTTTTCGGAACCCCTCTGTCGCTTTCGAACCCGAACGTTTGCTCGTAAATTCTACTTCCGTTTCCTACTTGGGAATGTCGTGCCTGATGCTTGGGCACCCAAATTGCCGCGACTCATCCGTTACGTTCCGTTTGCCACGCTTCATACACCTGGAAATAAAACCTCTCGACCATCACAACACGTATGTGCCCACTTTCCTAGGTCGGGATCGGCAAGGATTTCCTTCTCACTAAGTGCGTTGTAATGGATACAGTCCGCTGCTGTGATGTTGTCTGTTGAGTTGGCCTTCACGTTACCTGCATGTACGAGAAGTCCTTAGCTAGAATCCATCAAGGCATAGCATGCCTTGCGAAGCACTCACCAGATTTGACGCCGAAAACGAACCCCTCGGGAACGGGTAGTGCCCCCTGAGCAAACGGGACATGCTGCTATCAAAACAACTCTGACTCACCTGCATGAGGTTTTTAGCTTCTCCCAGTGGCTCATTAACGACCTCTCGAGCTGCCTCCGCGCGCAAGCCAACGATTCTAGTCTTCTCGTCGACGGCATTCCACCTAAGTTCGCGCCCATTTCAGATCGGGCATTCTTACCCTAGACTCACGTTAAAGCTTGTTTGGCCCCTTGACCAGCAGCTAACTGTATCTTCTCCATCTTGCCAAACCGGAAGAAGGGATCTCTGGTCTCATCCGGCCTGTCAGTAGAGCCCATCGAAACCGTGGAAGGCTTTTCGACTTCTTACCATGCATAGTCACGGTTAATTACTTCTCCGCATTGATAGTTCTTATGGGTGAACCGATACCTGCGTCACTGATAGCCTAGGAGCGGTACTGAAGTCCAACCTGTCCTTAACAGAGGCGGTCTCTTCTCGAGCGACATCTACTGGGAAGATACTTTCCTTCGCAGTGTAGTCGGAGTCCGGCGGTTTATAACCGAAACCTGGCAATATGAAACGGGACAATCTACAGTACCGGTCATCTAGAGAGGGAGAATCGATGGGCAGCCGTAACTTCTTCAAAAATGAGAGTTTTGAGGTGTATCTTATCTGGGATCGGCCACTCTTCACGGGAGAGTCAGAGTGGGAAGATCCAATACAAAGCCCGTTATGATACGACCCCCGATGATGAAACAAATGAAAACCATTGGCAAGAGAAATGTTACCATTTTTCTATCTCCTCTTTCACATTCGTTTGAGACAAGCGAGGTTCGCTTGGTGCCCAAATATCGGTTTATGCCTTCTTGACGCAATATTAAGATAAAAAGCCCTCACCTTTAAAGGAGCTGTCCTTTGTTGCTGGTGGAAGATCATGGCCTCGAACATACGACTTCCCCAATGGCTCGCGCTTGGTCGATGCATACACTTGCTCAGCACACTCATCCATATAGGCTGCGACACCGACTCTTTCCTGTGCCTGATACAGTGCTCATCGACAGGCTTTTAGACGATCTTCCACTTCTTACTTTCATCGTTCTCTCGGCGTTCTCTCCCTTCAGGGACTTTATGCCATGCGTGATCCTCTTGGGGTCTACAGCATGATCCAAGCCCACCATTCCCCAATGCACATTCATCTTCCCCGGTTCGTAGTCTCTTCTATATTTCCTCTGCTCTGAGAGACCGGGATGCCGAGGGCTTCAAAAATGCTACTTACCTGCCGGGGTTGGAGGAACAGGAAAATAAATATCAGGTTGTAGATCACACTCGGCCGAGTCGTCGAAGACTGCGATACCTGACAGACGATGCCAAGTGATCATCGGTATGGCGCTGCCATCGAAGCTGCTACTTTTGCCAGCCGGCCTGATGCCTATAGTTATCGGGTCTATCCGTATTTTCCCCTGAGATCAGCGACGATCCCTCACGACAGCCAGAGGGGCTTACCTGGGAGACCATACGAGTGTAGTTATCCCCCACTGGCTCGTCGGACATGCTAATTCAATATGCAACTAATCAAGACCGAGGGTGAGGTGAGGAGGGTCCCTTAAAGGGTCTAGCACCGTGCTGTCCCAAGTGGTAAACCCAAGGTAGGTACTCGATGATCATTGGAAAGATTCCCTCAAACAACAGTTATGGAAGGAGAATGTCTCATCAGTGAAGCAATCGGCGTTTCCTTCAGTGCCAAGCTTCACTGTATCACAACAGTTATCATACCTTACCGAGAAGCCATAATAACGGACTAGCAGCCCAAGTTGACGTACTGGAAGTTGCCCAACCAGCAATCAGGGTTGCCTTGGAAATCTGGTGCGGGCAGGTCCACCCCATCAACATATCCTTCATGGCAACAACGCTCAAATGTGAACCTAGCAACATCTGTAAAGGCGACGATGGAGAATGAAGCTGCCTGAGATCGAGGGCAGAGCTCAGAGCGAACTGCTCTCAGAGGCGTCAAGATGTAGGCACCGGCAGCACGACACAAGGCTCTTCTTTTGTCTCAAGCGACTTCTAGTTCGTATGCCACGCCCGATATGTGCCGAAGAGAGATCGATGTATAAGAGAAGGAGAGGTTGACAATTGGTCACTGACTCTTCATTCCAGCACGAAGGGTTGCCCCTTGAGCCGTATCTTTCTGTTGTGCAGCAGAGATCGAATCTGACTTCAGAATGCATTATGGAGACTTATATTTCTCTGAATACGTGAAGTCCCCGATCCAACAGGCCTGGTTGCCTTTTGGTTCTGTGAAGCCAGAAGATGTGTTGTCTACCAGCCCGTGGCAGCACCAATGATATGTTATACCTATTCCACCGAGTCGGGCGCCGCAACCGAGGTCGACTCATGAGTAACGTACCCCTCGATCGGTCCCAGCAATCGCCATTCCCTAATGCCCCAAACCGTATAGGATCACAGCATGTCTCCCAGGTGAACCTTCCAACCCAGCAATCGTGGGCCACCAGTACAAGAGGGTAGTATATGTACAAAAGACGAGAAACAGACCGCATTCGCCAGGAAAGCTCCAAGACTGCTAAGTGGATTCTGGGATACTTTCTATTAACAAACGAAAACCTTTCAGTTTGAAAATAAACCTCTACAGTAAGAGAGTGATAACGAGGAAGTAAAAAAGCAGGTAAACAATGGCGGTGGCAGTAAACTGCCATTATTGCAGCACCTGCTGCTGCTCGCAGTGGAGCAGCATTGGATGGCTCCATAACTGTACCAAGTCGATGCGAGGTAGCTTAGAAAATAGCTTAGATACCCCTCCGGTAGTAGCAAACACAACAAGCAAACATAACAGCACACATCAATAACAAATCACATTAATTGACATCACACCGAAGACGTCGCTGTGATCTAACTCGCCTGCTTAATCTCGTGCATCGTCTTTTCTACTCTGATTTCCGCAAATATAATGACCATCAACTTACACAGCCTCTCTTTAGTTCCACCATATCCGGTCAGGAGAGATAAAAGCTTAGACACACCAAGACGACACATGTCGTCGTCCGTAACTTCCACACCTCCGTACTTGGCAAATGCCTTTCCTGGATCCTGGATGCTGGAAGCCAGGGCATACTCAGTTCCATTGATTTTAAATCCGCTGGCATAGCCATTCGAGCTGAGTAGAGAAACAACGACAATAAAAAACGACAATACGGAGAATCCGCTCAACATACAACTCATAAGTAGTAGGACCTTCGATACTGTCACAATGAACCTCGCGTAAGAAAGAAGTGTCATTGGCCTTGAATGAGACCAGTAGTTCGTAGGTGTCAGTGAGAACTGTGCAAATATCATGGGCAGGTTCGTAGGGTAGGACAGTAATGTCATCCGGCGGTGGAGGGATATATAGTGCTCCTCCCTGAGACACAAGAGTTTCATCAGAGTGGCTTTATACTTCATCTTAGTACTTTCTTAGACTGCTGTCCATGGCCGCCATCGCTCTGAGCAGGTTTGGATAATCCCTGCGCAAGAGGTAAAACAGCACATATGAGGTGGAATATGAACATTGTCGAGATCTGCAACAGAGGGTTCAGTGCTGCGCACTATTGTATAGTTTCTAGTCCGACGTTGGCGAGTCCCGACCGATACTCAAGTCTACTATTTACGAGGAGACGATGCGAACCTTATAACAATATATTGCATGCCGACACTGTGAGCCGTAATAGGGGGTAGGACATGGGGTCGGTAGGGTTTTGATACGATCGTAATTGAGTCTCGGCTTCCCAGCGCCATTCCCTATTCAGAGCATGTATATCATTTAAACAGAGGAAGCGGTTAATTGATAGGAGACTTGCCCTGGCAATGCTTGTGTCCTGGGCTCGAGGTGGTCATTTTTGACGGGACAATGCGGCAGCCTTCCAACTTGTAGCCTTCTTAGCTTAGTCGGTGAGGCTTACTAAGCGGGTGCTTAGTAAGCGGGATGTCGTCGGTTCAACTCCGGCAGAAGGCTTTACGAGGCGCCTCAGTGGTTGCTAATCAATCGCCTTACGCCCATGTACCGCTTCTTTCAAACGAACGATGATGTACACTTCCCTATGGATTTACGAACAATAGTAGTGCTCTAGGCTCGTAGTGAAACCAAAAAATACAAAAAGATATATGCTAACGGATATGTAGAAGCAAGTATACTATAAAAAGATTACGATGAGCTTGAAATGAAGAAGCTACTCTAAGCCTTTAGCTGGAGCTCTACTTCGATTAGTTGGCAATGGAAGGAACAATGCTATCCACGAGGGTATCCCTGAATGATACAAATAACCGGTAGAGCGGTTAGTATTGGAGAACACATACATGTGGCAGTTGCCGTGCCATCATTGAACACTTCTTTCATGCTGTCTAACCAACTTTGCCGGGGCCCTCTAACATTCTGCAATTGTTCAACACCAGTTTGATTATGACTGAGGAAAACTGACATTAGGAATCGATGAAGCAAAGGGGGTCCTACATTATTGCTGATGTTTGGTCGCATATCATGATGGCCGTAAAGAGGCCGAAAACGAGGCCAAAGAAGAATGTAAGCTAAACATAATGATGCCCACGCGCGAAGGGGAGATGACATAAGATATTATTACCACTCCGAATCCAATCAAAGGACCGTCGATGTCGCAAATATCTGGCCCTTTTTGGGCTGGCTCCGGCAATCCTATTCGCCCAAAGCTTACTACAAAGTTCTCCCGATTGTGGCAGTGGTGAAGTCTGGAGACGATCGCGAGAACGGAGAAGCCGCAAAGGATGCTGACATACTACAAGGGGCGCAAATCTCGAAATAAAGCTCCCTTGATTCGTTACCGCTAGGAAAAGCATAAAATGCTTTTGATTGTACATACCAACACAATTGTTAACCCATGGGCAATGATGGTCCATTTTAAGTATGCATCTTCCACAAGTACCTTACCACCATTATAACTCTCACGTCTGGCTGGGAAACCCACTGCAGTGATGAGCCCTAGGCGGCTTTGGTATATTGCATCTTTTGCAATATCTCCGTTTACTAGTCTTCCCTCTCACCGACACTCCCGTGACTGCTGCTGCTGTTGCAGACGGTAGCTGAGCAGCTGCAGCATGAATGTCGGCTGTTAATGATGGTGGTGTTGCAGCAGATGCTGACTCTGTAGACGTGTTTAAAGCAGTCGTCCGATGCCTGCTCATCATTGATAATAACTCATCCGTGATGTGCCCAGTACTACTCTATTGCTCTAGAGGCCATTTCTATGCCGTCAGTGTCGAGTTCTCCGGTAGCTCTTCCAGCCTCGAGATCATCCTCTTGTATAGGCTTATCCAACGGCACCTAACAACATATATCTAAACTTGACATCTGAGTCTGAGCTAATACACCATTTCAAGATCTAATTAGTAAAAGCCAAGACCAAATTATAATAGCCCAGAACAAATTAGTAAAAGCCAAGACCAAATTAATATAGCCTAGAACAAATTAGTAAAAGCCAAGACCAAATTAATATAGCCTAGAACAAATTAGTAAAAGCCCAGACCAATTTCGCGTCCAGAGTGGACGGAGGCTCAACGCACCATCAGAGATCCCTTCTGCGGTAAATGCTTGATACGCCTCCTCTGTCATCGTTTGCGTCGGTCAATTCTCATTACTACCCACGTGACGATAGAGGTTAGTCATCTACATCATCGCCTCAGTAACCTCATCTTACCCCTTCGAAAGCAATAGGTGGATCACAAATCATGACTCACAATCGGCTAAGCTGGTCGGACCAAATAGGTTGCAGTATTAATTTGTTCTGGGCTTTTACTAATTTGTTTTTGGCTTTTACTAATAAGATCTTGAAATGGTGTAGAAGCAGGGCGACTATTCATCTTAGCATCTTTGAGTCGCACGTGTTAAAGATTGATAAACATTTCGGACATCCCCCAATAGAGAAGTGTTACTACCGCTCCTGGATCCGTAAGCATGCATGCCATGTGAGACCAAATTGACAGTACCTACAGTGACAACAGAGAGTAAATATAACATAGCATAGAGGTTAGCTCCGTACAAATAGGATATTAAATATAACAAAGGCAATAAGGGGCCAATACCCCGTTCCTTCAGTTTGCACCCAGGTCCATAATATACGATATCCTACTGTATAATAGGCACAGGCAAGCAGTAGATCAGCTATAGTGACGCAAGTGAGTCCGCAGCAATCCACAATAAACCACATTTCAACGCACGGTGTGGTGGAAAGTGATCCTGCTGTTGCCGCAAATGCTAATGCAAACTGATGAATCTTGCTTCCTCGCTATTTCCTAATTACAACTTTCTGCGGCGGGGGCGGGGCCCAGGGGATAGAATATGGCGCTGACGGGGGCTTAGGCCGCTTAAATAATTGTACTGGAAACCATCACTTCTCCTATTGTACGAGTATGAATTTACTTCACAGCTTGACGACGTATGAAATGTCAAAACGTAACTCAACGGCGGCTAACTTAGTTATTTACCTTAAAGGTGGGACGCCTCGTCAATGGTCTACTGTAAGTTAAACTCACAGTACCCGTAGCTCTACAGGGTGATAAAAATGAAGTCATAGGTAACCTTTTTCGTGTTCATATTGCGAACTTCGTACACCTTAAACATTTGACTTGAACATAACTCAACTGTCTTCTGCTCAAGTTCAACATGTCAGTGGGATGGAGAACAATAGAAAAGGGAAGCTAACTTCAATTCCAAACCCATTGCTTGATCTTTAGCCGCCCAGAACCGCACATGCAAAGGCTTGCCACTAGTTCGGTATGGTGTTTGATTTTATACCAACAGTTATTCATGTAAATAACTAACATTTTAGTCTTAGACTGTTAGGATTATTCGTTGTTTACAAAGAACTCGACAGTCAAGAAGTAGATCAAGAAGCGTGACTGGTTTGAGGACCCAAACTTATCTTCAATGAAAGTAAAACGGGATGATCACCTTGTAGCGATTGGGATCACCAACACAAGTATTTTACGAAGCAATGTGGTTCTACCCCAAAACGCGTCGGAGATTGGGCGGGGCACATCAGATAGATGTTAAAGACATATTGTTCTTACTGCAGCAACCTCAGAAGCCTTCGATTGCTTGATACATGCTCGAGGGTAACGGTAATCTCAAAAGGAGTAGTAATACTGATAGTGATGGTGTTTGCGTCTGATGCAAACGTAATCGAGGCACCTAAAATAGCTTAGCAATATCCAATTGAAGAGAGGCAATTACTTCTGACATATTCTTGTACAAGAGGAGGGAAGGCATCGAAGCTCTCCAGGATAACCTTGTTACCTTCCATGTGAAAGGGGATCGGAGCGGTGCTCTCGAGTAACACCGAGTAAGGGTCTCGGGTACCCAAGATCCTAAAATACAAGTACTCCGCCGCACACGTTGGATGAGACGACACTCTGCCGACAAATAAATACCGTCAATGTGGCACCTTTAGCCACCACTTACAACTTGCTGACTTGGTTACTGGGTGAGTTAGTAACCTGAACCTCGCCAGTTCCTTCACCAAGTATCGGAACAGTCCCGTTGAAAACATAGACACCATTAGGGGCAGGTCCAGGTGCTGAAGTTGGTCCACCAGTGGTAGGAGACCCGGTGCTCGGGGCCCCGGTGGTTGGGGCCTGCGATGTCGGGTTATTGGTAGTTGGGGCGCTTGTAGTGGTACCATTTGCTGACAAAAACGAATTGCCACCATGGGAAGAAATGCCTCTTGTAACTTACAGCTGCTGCATCCTTCCCAAAGGACGACATTCATACCCACGAGAATGGCTGCGAATGCGAGCTTCATTGATGTCGATTGAACAAAATACCTACGAGAATGAAATCGAAAACAAGTTAGGTAAATCCACTGGGCCGCTTGGTCGGTGAAGTCGTGAAACTATCGGTAGACGATGGCCGACCATGGTCACAAAATCTCAAAGGCTTTAGACGAAGTTAGCAGGCAGGCAATTCGAGGTAGAACACCTCGAGACCTCGGAGAAGAGTGATACAGCGTAGCCGACGCTGCGTAGGTGAAACCAAGTGCTCGACATCAGCACGGATAGACGAATCCGGCAAATCTTCACTTCCGACGAAAGCCATACGCATGCGCATTTAGCTAATTAGCGCCCGTGTCCGACGAAGAGCAGCAGGGGAAAGTGAGGAGTCGCGGCTACATGTGGCCGAACAGGATCAGCTTACATACAGTACAGCAGGCATACACTTACAAACGATACAAGCAGAATAGATACATGAACCTCCTACCAAAACTTTTCCCCGCGTGCTAACACGTAACCTGTGCGCAACTCAATTGCACCGCCCGTATCGCGGTGATTACTATCGGGGTAAGTGGCTCGAGACAAGTCGGGGATATCAGTCGTGCCTGGCTCGGGGTCTTTGATCAAGTGAAATATCTAATTCTCAACCTGGCAGAACTATGAGAAGGGACCGAAGGGTTCATTCAGACTCGCCTGGCTTCCAAAAGTATGTACATGCGTGCCACAAGGTTTGTGAGGCACATTATTCTACTTCGCATTACCGAGTCATGGGAGTTGATAGTCTAGCAAAGTCTAAAGCTGAGGTGCTTTGATTTCGTTCCGCTTCCAGGTACTTGCGGTTATCGCATTACTTTCCTGTTGAAGAGAAGCTGAATGCGCTTTATGTGGTTTCGCCAAATGTACGCGTACAGCGAGTCGGTGGCCCTCATAGGGCAGTAGATTAGCGGATGACTGGCTCTCAGAGGGGCTAGTAATCCCTGCGCTTCACTGCTAGGCCTTGAACTATTCTTTACTGCTAGGCTTCATATTCCATTTTCAGTCCGCTACTGCGGAACTCGACACCTCAAAGCCTCTTGAGTTGAGAAAAGTGTTACATGAGCCCGAATGCTAAATTATTCTTCTGATGCAGTCGGCGGTCTCGTACTGCTCCGCTCCCAGTGAGCAGATTTCGCTGCCACGTTGGCGTCCACTTGAGTCAAGTGCATCATCCGCCACAAC